TAATAGCAAAAGTTCTACAGTAAAAGTCAGACCTAGTGGCTACACGTGTAATTCCAACACGCTGGGAGGCTGAGGCAGAATGTTCAGAAGTTTCAGTCCAGCCTGGGCAAGTTAGTCAGTAAGTGAGATCATCTTACAACATAAATAAATATGTAGATAATGGATGGATGACTGGGGATGTATCCAATGTGAAGGCCCTAGGTTCAAATCCTGGTACCATAGGAAAGTACCATAATAGACTGAGAAGGTTTTATAAAATTGTAAATTGGTACCTAAAAGGAAGAATACAAAAGATGATCATATTATTCTTTATGTAAATGTTCATGTCCACTTTTCAGAAAACATATTTAAAAATATTTACTGAAAGCAAAACTCTGAACATCTAAAACATTTTTAGATATTTTGTATACAAATATTTCTTCTAAATATGAAAAATATTTCTAAAGTGTGAAAATATATTCAGTAAGAATGAAAATTCTGCCGATTTTTGGTCTGAAAATGTCTGCATTGCACCAAAATTTTTAAAATTATATTTACTGGACATAAAATTTTATGTTTTCTTTCAACCCATTAAAGATTTTATTTCATTGTCAAAAAAAGAAAGCTATGAAATGTTCATAAGAGTATACATAAAAATAAAATTACTCCAAGTTTATAAAATTATAAGTACATATATCAATTAAATTTCATTTGCAAGCATCGATTGGTGACTTTTTGATGTAAACATGAAATAAATAATACTTTTCTGGATGGTGAAAATTTTCATTACTCTATTTCTGGAGGATTCTTTGATATCATATACCAAATGACTGAAAAGTATAGACACCTATGAACACAGCTATTTAATTTGTCAGAATTTACTCATTTTAATAGGTACTAAAATTATTCTTGTATGAAAGATCTATCTAGTATCATTGTATTTATGGAAGCATGAGAGTAAAAGTCATTTACAAAATTAGGAGTTTCAAACACTTGAAAGAATCAACAACTGGGATCTCATCCTACTGAAAAGTTTCTGCACATCTAAAGAAATCACCAGAAGAGTCAAAAGAAAACCCACAAACTTGGAAAAAATTTT